AGACAAGGAAGAGCTTTTCCCCACCTACATGGTATGCTAGGCTTTTTTTTTTTTTTTAGAACATGGCTTCTTTTATATATGGCTCTATTTTTGGTCTATGTTGCCCTACTTTCCAACATGAGGTATAATCTCCACATGCCCTGCATTATCACAAAGGGATAAAGATAACGACAAAATACCTCGAAAGTACCTGTGAGCCTCTGAAGTTTAAAGCTATCCCATTTGTTCTTATTTTGTACAATTGGATGATAAGAGTAAATTAGTTCTGTGAAACAGGTTACGATGACTTCATAAAGACCACTTTTTACTTTGAGATAGAAGCCTTGCCTCTGTATAAGGAAAGTGTGTGTGTGTGTGTGTGTGTGTGTGTGTGTGCTACCTTTGGACTGGTGGTAACTGTCTTTCTCCTAGACCTTGTTTTGCTTTACAGTAAGGACCTTTACAGGAAGAAAAATCCTTTCATGAAGGATGTCTTGACATGTGTAACAATGAGACACCTCTGCTGAAATCCTGGAGGACGATTCCTGAGACCAGGGCTGGAAAAGGACCCAAAACTTTTAAGCCTCTTGAGGTCTGGTTGGTCATAGGGCAAAGGCTCTCATACAGAAAACTGAGTGTCATTTCCATAGATTTTTAATAGCTATTTCTAGTAAAAAAAGAGTTTGATATTCCAATCTAAATTCGGGAAATGTTGGATTATGGAAAATTAAGCCATTTTCTTTGCTGTAGGATGCTCCTCGCTTTTAATTGAGAAATATTCCAAGATAATTCTTTTAGGTTTTGTTTGTCTGGGTCAGTGATTGACTAAGTGTAGGCTGACCTTGAACTTGAGATCCTCTTGCCTCTGTCTCCCATGTGCTGGGATTATAGGTGTGAATCATCATGCCTGGTTCCATACGCTTTCTCTTTTTGGCTCCTTGGCATAGAATCCTTGGTAGCATTATTGTTCTTTTGAGCACAATGTGAGAAGCACTAGAATACTCAGATAAGGCAGAGTTTTCACACAAAGGCAGCTGGTTGTAAGGCATCACCTCTCTATGATGGTAATTAAATGAGCTACCTTCTTTAAATCTGTTTCTGAGGATATCACTAGCTGACAGGATAGTAAGACTTTCTGGGTGCTGGGTGCAATTATCATCTTCCGCATTTTACTGACAAAGAAATAAAAGCACCAAAGGGTTAAGAACCTTGTATGCAACTAAGCAAGTGGCTAATAGTGGAAAATCAGATCTACTTGCTCTGTCTGTAACAGAGTTACCATCTAGGCCACGGAGGCTCAAATCCAGGCAGCATAACTCTAGATCCTGTGTTTCTTAGTGCTATGCTCAACTGGCCCATCAATCAACAACTGGTGCATTAATTCACAATGGTGTGTGCACATAGGGACTAATAATCATGTTTATTAGTGATGGGAAAAATAAAATAAAATTGACAGCAGGCATTTGAAAGCCCTCATGTTCAACACAAATTGAAGAATGATAGCAAGAGGCTGGGCCACTGTTTATTTTATACTTTGCCTCATTAAATTTGTGTTCCCTTAATAGTTATAAAGAAATTGAATGGGATTTCATGGTGGCAGGAGAGAAGGTATATTATCCTCACTGGGTAAGGAAGTGGATCCAGGATTAAGTCTTCCAACATGACCCTTGCCTTGGGTCTGACACCTCTTCATCTGTGTAGCTGTATTGTTTTCCTAATCACATCACATGTTTCTTTCTCATGTACAGCACAAACACACTCAGGCATGCATCAAGCACCTGCTACGTAGACACAGACAGACAGAGACACAGATACACAGACACAGACAGACAGACAGACACAGACACAGACACAGACACAGACACAGACACACACACACACACACACACACACACACACTCCTTGTTGCTGCCCCTACACCATTTCCCTCAGTCCCCTGGTGTTCTTATAAAATGTATTTGTAGGTTGAGCCAACACAACCATGGCCAGACACATGCACAATCTCAGTTGTGAGATTTAAAATATTCCGAATGTCCAGTATAAGACTTCACTGAATTCTCTCATGCTTAATTCATAGCTAAATCCAACTCTTTCCAAAATCAGTCACAAGAATGGATCTTCTTGAGCTGGGCAGGCAGGCACTGGTGACTCATGCCTGTAATCCTAGCTATTCAGGAGGCTGAGATCTGAGGACTGCAGTTTGAAACCAGCATGGCATGAGAAGCCAGCCTGTCTGTGAGACTCTTATCTCTTAATTAACCACACCCAAACTGGAAGTGGAGCTGTGGCTCAAATTGGTAGAGTGCTAGCCTTAAGCAAAAAAGCTCAGGGACAGCACCCAGGCCCTGAGTTCAAAATCCCATGACTGACAAAAAACAAAAAACAAAAAAAACAAAATGAAGATCTTCTTTGTAGGCTGTTTGGAGATACAGGGGTTAAAAAGTAGAGCTGCTTCCACTGCTATAGAAAATATGTGGGACCAAACTCCCCAGGCAGGACGTCAGGGTAGTAGATTTTCTTCCTTGAAAACCTTCCCTTGTGAGGTGCTCAGGTCTTTGGTTCTAGTCTACAGAGTGTTATCTAGGCCCACAGCACATACACTCCTCAGATTTTCCCTTGTTATCATCCTGGGAATACCTTGTTGCTTCTCTTCTCTGCAGAAACCATTTCCACAAGCTTATGCTTACTCATTTGCTGATTGGCTCCAATAGATTTTCAGGAATGAGAAGACAGATGGTTATTGTTTTCTTGAGACCCAACATGCCTGAATCTTTCTTTATCATACTCTCACATGTAATACTTAGTTTTGGATAGCTGAATTCTTGCTTGAGGTGTTTTCACTCAGAATTTTGAACATGTAGATAGAACTGACAGGTGGAGTCTTTTTCTATTCAGAATATAGAATGTGTTACTTTACTGGCCTGTTTCCTTTCTTTGTTGCTGTTCTCTTAAGTTATCTGATGGGGCTTGTTAATTTAGATTCTTCCAAAAAGCTTAGCTTATTAGATGAAGAGGAAGAAGAGGAGGAGGAGAGAGAGAAGGAGAAGGAGGAAGAGGAGGAGGAGGAGGAAGAGGAGGAGGAGGAGGAGGAGGAGGAGGAGGAGGAGGAGGAAGAGAATCCACTACTAGTAGTTCCTTGGGAGGAGATCCAGGAATGGGTGGTCAGGTGAGCAGGTGGCAGGTAAGGGGAGTAATATTTTTGTTACTGCTGTGGACAACTGTGTTCAAGCCTACCTAGATAGTCCAAGATAGCCTATGGAATACCCCAACACAATGGTCTCATACAGGGTCAAGGAAATTAGGTGTGTACCTGCCAATTCTCATTTTTCAGAGGCTGAGGGCTGCACTTGGAATATGAACTGCTTGGTGGTCTACCATTTGAGCCACACCTCTACTTCTGGCTTTCTGGTGGTTAATGGGAAATAAGAGTCTCACAGACTTTCCTGTCTGGGCTGTGTTCAAACTGTGATCCTTAGATCTCAGCTTGATGCATAGCTCGGATTACAGGCATGAGTTAATAGCACCTGGTTTGTCATATCTTTTTGAAGTCTATATTTGTCCTTAGTATCATATTACTCTGGCTCTTCTGGATCCTTTTTCCTACCCTCCCCCTTATTCTTTGTGTGTGTGTGTGTGTGTGTGTGTGTGTGTACATGTGTGCACATGCACAGGTGTGTGTCTTAGTTCTGATAGTGGCTTTCCTTAAATGATTGTAGAGCCTTGGCAATCTATTCATATCTATGAACAAGGTAGTAGTGAGTTGACAGGATTCTATGCCTGGATGGGGACTGTTGACTGGCATTGCTTCATCTTGTCATGTCATCATCATTATCTTCTTCATCATCATCACCAGCTCATCATCACCATCACTATCATCATCATCATCATCATCATCATCCCACAATTTTAGGTTTACACTCCATAAATGAGCAAGGTTTATCTCATTCCACATGATGGTTTCCAAATCTATTCATTTTCCTGCAACTGTCATAATTTCACTTTTCTTTATGATGAGTAATGGTCTATAGTGTATATATGTCTTTTTTTTACATGAAAACTATAGAAAAAATTTACTAGGAAAGGAATATACTTTTTCTTGTTGTTGGTCATGGGGCTTGAACTCAGGGCCTGCGTGCAGTCCCTGATCATTTTTGCTGAAGGCTAGTGCTCTGACACTTTGAGCCACAATACCACTTCAGGTTTTCTGGTGGTTAATTGGAAATAAGAATCTCATAGATTTTCCTGCCTGGGCTGACCTTGAACTGTGGTCCTCAGATCTCAGCCTCCTGAGCATCTACAGGTATGAGCCACCAGCACTCGGCCAGAGATCTTTCTTGTATATTTGTTTACTTCCTTTTGGCTATATGCCCAAGAATGGTATGTTGGTGTTCATAAAGTAGGTTTATTTATTTATTTTTTGAGGAGATTCCATACTCATTTCCATAGTAGTTGCACTAGTTCGCATTCTCACTAACAACATTTCTCCCTGGTGCCAACCTTCCCCCCCCCCGCGCCCCCATCATCTCCAGCATTCTATATTGTTTGTTTTCTTGATGACTGCCATTATTACTGGAATTAGATAAAATCTCAGTGTAGTCTTGATTCACATTTCCTTTATGGCTCAAGGATGTTGAACATTTCTTCATGCATTTATTAGCCATTTGATGTCTTCTTCTGAGGGCTATCTGTTCGCTTGCCCATTTTCTCTTCTAAGTTTACGTGTTTACTTTTCAACTGGAGGGCCTTTGAGGGACTTACAGGCATTTCTCACTGGTGATTTAAGAGGAATATACTTTTACGCTTCTACTTTGAAGATGAGAAAAACTAAAAAGCGGAGTTAAGGGACTTGCCCAGGTAACATAGCTGCTACATGGTAGAAGGAAACTGGAATCCAGTCCAGATTCTAAACATGGCTATTTATTTACTGTACTTTACTGTGCTCTGATTTCCACATAATGTTAAATTAGCTTGAACATCTAGAAATAATAGCATTGACTAATACCATTTCCTATCCTCAACAGGCACCATGTCCGGCTCTGGGGATGCAAACGTAGTAGCAGAGTTCTCCCCTCAAGCCTCAGCACATGTAAAATATCACTGTCTAGGTAGGTGTGGGGAAGGAAACCCCCCTTCACTGAAATGCTTACTGTGGCACCTGCCACAGAGGAGAGGAAATGATGACCTCTAAAGGATGAATGGAGCATTCTAGTAGGGAGGAGGGGGAATCAATCCTGGGCAAGGAAAGCAAGGAAAAAGGCTGAGTGCAGGTGTAACAAGTAGAGTTTCATGTCTGATTCTGAAACTCTTAAGGAGATTCCTATGGACATGTGGAGAGGATAAGGAGAGAGAAAATAGAAGGTGTAATAGGTGTGGTAATATGATAACACCTATGGGTGTCCACTTTCCCTATTCTCACTTTTTTTTTCTCACCAGGTAAATATCATCACCCTGATATGATAACTCAGGAAACAAGGGTTCAGAGAGCGTATTGACTTCTCCAGTATTCCAAAGACCTTTCTAGGCTTTGTGACCTTTTCCAGAGTTGTGGGGGACAGAATACTGGTGTCCTGGGTCTTTGTTCTTAGAAAAGCCCTATCTGGCAGTCCCGCCGGCCAGGGCTGAGATGGCAGCTGCAAGCTCAAGAAGCCCAACAAGGGAATGGTATGCCCTATCTGTATTTTGGAGAGACAGCTGATGGTAGACAGTTGTGTGGCTTCTGGGTTAGGGAAGTTTCCTAGAGATATGAAAATCTAGAAGTCATTTAATAAGTAACTGACGAGGGAAGGGCTGATGGTGAGTATAATAGTTTTTGACGAGTGAGATGGAGGGAGGAGACATATGCAGCTAACAGGATTAAAACAGTATGTTATACACTGGTACAGGGAGGTATATAGGACATTAAGTGGGACCTTTTGTGAGGAGACACTGAGTATTTTGCTGGGTAACAGGGGAGTTGGCTGTTGCCATTAAATCTCAAGGATAGGAGAGAAAAGCAGCCATGTGGCATCCAGTTGATCTGTACGGGGAGCTGCTGGAAAAATGAGTCTGGAGGAAGACATCCCTTGCATGTATAGATCTGAAGTTGCCAGCCAACAGCTGAGGATTAAAGCCACAGGAAAAGAGAAGATAGCCTGGAGCTGGTAGCTCATGCCTGTAATCCTAGCTACTCAGAGGCTGAGATCTGAGAATCTCAGTTTGAAGCCAGCCCAGGCAAGAAAGTCCATGAGTCTCTTATCTCCAATAAACTACTCAGGAAAAGCTGGAAGTGGAGCTGTGGCTCAAGTAGTAGAGCATGCATTAACTTTGAGTACAAAGAAGCTCAGGGACAGTGCCTAGGCCCTGAATTCAAGCCCCAGGACTGGAAAAAAATATTCATTCTATAGACCTAGAAGAAAAGAGTCAATGTTGATTCTTAAGGAGCAAGTACCAGAAGAAGGGTACAAAGAAGTTGAAATAAAAAACACAAATAGAGCTTATACCTCTAATTACCTTACTTGTTTTATAGAACAAACACTTTAGAAGTAGTAGGAATTATGATTTCCACCTCACAGATCTGAACAGTAAAATGCAGAAACATATAGCACGGTGCTCCAAGAGTGGCATTTAATAAAATGGCAGCTATCTTATTTCTAAGGTGTCATGGCAAGTGAACCAAAGCTGTTTGACCTGAAGGTTAGAGTTTCCTCCATGATTATAGTAACTTTAACCCCACTACACTTATTCCTAGACTAATCTGCTGGAATGATTCTGGGCATACCAAATGTAAGGCACTGACGTCTACGTTCTGTTAGTGTAGCTGTGTACACACCTGCATAGCTAGCTTCCGTAAAAGTAGAAAAGCACTGGCATTTCAGATCTACTTCAGGGGAAAGAGCCATTCTGGAGAGTATGGAACATTACAAACTAATAGCAAGAAATTGGATTTAAAATCCATTTTTAATGAGGGTTAAGGAGAACTCAAAATTGTCCTATTTGATTAGATAAACATTTTGTAGTCTGAAAATGAATAGCTACCCCCCCCTTTTTTTTGGTAACTATTATACTACCAAAAAAGATCCAATTAAAAGAATAGACAGTTCTGATGTCAGAATGTATCAGGAGCAAAAGGGAAGCATGGAGATTTTTTTTCTTTAAATGAAAGCATTCTGTCATGTACCTGTCACTATGACCAAAGTTCTCAATAATTGAGTGTAGCTCAGAATAGGTGGGTGGGCTTCCCTTGCTCTGGGAGATGTGGAGAGCAGATTCCCAGGACTGCACTTAAATAAAATCGGTGGGTACCATTTCTGACAAATGGCTTCCATGTTTTCTTTTCCCTTTTAATTTTTTGGTCTGTTGTGAGGGTTGAACTCAGGGCCTGAGCTCTGTCCCTGGGCTCTTTTTGCTCAAGGCTAGTGCTCTATCACTTTGATCCACATCTCCACTTTGGGTGGTTAATTGAGCCACATTTCCACTTTGAGCCACATCTCTACTTTCTGGTGGTTAATTGGAGATAAGAGTCTCATGACTTTCCTGCCCAGGCAGGCTTTGAGTTGCAATTCTCAGATCTCAGCCTCCTGAGTAGCTAGGATTACAGGTTGAGCCACCAGTGCCTCGCTTGGCTTCCCTGTTTTCAATGGCACTTTTTTTTTGTTTGTCCATGCATGTTTGCGATTTGTTACATTTTCAGTTTTGAAGGGCTTGCTAACTAAAAACAGGGCCCCAGACCCAATTAGTACAGTACTCTGTAACTTTTTAGATGAATGTGTTCAGCTTTTAGGAAATTTTTCTGAGCGAGCCTGAGACAGGACAAGAGAATGAATTTTCTTTGAGGGTTGTAAGGCAGTTGCTCAATTGTGAGGAAGTTGCCTCTTTAATTAAAAAATTTTTTTTGGTGGGACTGGGGATTGAACTCAAGTCTTGCTTGCTCATGGCCAGCACTCTACCACTTGAGCCACGCCTGACTTTTTACTGGTTAAGTGGAGCTGGAGTCTTGCAGACTTTTCTGCCTAGGCTGGCTTTGGACCTTTGTCCTCCAGGTGGCAACCTCCTGAGTAGCTAGGATTACAGGTGTGAGGCACCAGCACTTGGCAACCTCCTTAATTTTTAAAAATTGGTTGGAAGAGCAATCAAATTCCCTTTAGTCTTTATTGCCAGGGTCAACCTGATGTCACTTGGAAGCATGATTATGTTGCATGTTTGTAATAATACAACATATTCATGTTCATAAAAATGAATATGAGAGGGGCTGGGAAGATGGCTCAGTGGTAGAGTGCTTGCCTTGCATGCATGAGGCTCTGGGTTCAATTCCTCAGCACCACAGAAGCAGAAAAAGCCAGAAGCAGTGCTGTGGCTCAAGTGGTAGAAGCGCTAGCCTTGAGCTGAAGAGCTGAGGGACAGCGCCCAGGCCCAGAGTTCAGGTCCCATGACCATCACCACCAACAAAAAGAATGAGAGAACATCTTTTCAATGCAGGAAGTGCCTAAAGAGCTTATTGATGACAGGTTGAGGGTGTGGCTCAGGTGGTACAGTGCTAGCCAACGAGTGAAAACGAACATCAGATAGGGAGTTTAAGTCCTGGTCTGGGACCAAAAAATAAAAATATTTCTGTGAGGAGACACAAATTAGTGAGGACTGGTTTCCAAGTCAGAAATGCAGAACTGAATTTGAAATGAGAGCTGCTGGTAGTGAAAGGCACTATAGATGATTAATTCATGTTTCCTGAGATACCTCCCTTTCATAGCTTCCTTCCTTTTCCCTTCTAAGACCCAACTGCTCCTCTAATCTGCAGTTAGCAGCTAAAGAAGTCTCTTGGAAGAATGATAAAGAAGTTGAAGAGGGTCAATAGGATTAGAAAAGAGTAGAAGGAGGAAGGAAGAGAGACAGAGAGAAACAGAGAGAGAGGTCGGCTGGGTAGGAAGAATAATTTCTTATTCTATTAAAAATTCTCAAAACTAAAAATAACCGACAGTAGTCAGCTCTTTTTCCTATCAGGTGCTTCTAGGTTAATCTCTTTACTCTTAAGCTCCATCACATTTTATTGTCAGTGCGGTGAATATTGTCCTCAGAGGACAGGCAGAAAGATAGAGAAAACCCACAGTTTCCTCATGACGCTTAAAATTGAGTTGGAGACCAGAAAGTACTTCTAAGAGGCAAGAATGAATATGGCCAGTAGCAGAATACCTATGCAAGACAAAAAGCACAGTGGGGGAGAGGGCTGGCTGCTGAGATTGGGAATTAGTGTTTATCTGAGAAAGGAAGTTTGGGGCCTACAATTTGGGGGTAAAGGAAGAGCAGAAGAGAAAAGAAAATGATTTGAGCACTTAAAATCTCTAATGCATTTTAAAATCAAGAATAGTTAAATGTTAATTAACCTTCCAAATTAGAGTAGTAATTTAATTTAACGTGAACAGGGATGAACAGGGAAAGGGAATTATGGCTGAGAAATTTGCTTATTGGACAATGGAGAATTGCATTGCTGTAATTTCTTCTTCTTTTTTTTTCCCCTCCTCTTTTTTTCTTTTTCCTTGGCCTGTTCAACCTCCCAAAGTTATATCTTTTTTCAAGTCACATCACAAATTAATGTGCACTCTTATAGAAGTCATGGATGATAAAATTACATCACAGTTTACTCTAAATGCTATCTTTCACAAAAACAACCCAAAAAGCATGACCTTTTCTTAAAATGACCGTGAGGCTTTTAGTTTTCATTGTTTGATAGCCTTCATTACAAAGGCTCTTCCCTGGCAGAAGAGTTGAGATTTCAACAGTCTTTTTTTTTTGGTAGACCTTGGAAATTTGCTTCCAGACTCACCCTCTTTTCTTTCTTTTTTTAAAATTTTTTTATTTACTTTATTTTTGTGAACATACTGTACAGAGGGCTTACCATTACATGGGCAGGATAATGCGTACATTTCTTATCAAGCATTGCAGCCTCCTCCTTTGTTTACCCTTCACATCCCTTCCCAGCTTCCCCCCCCACCCCCCCACCCAACCTTCCTCCTCCCCCCACACCAACATTGTAAAACTCCTTTTCGACATGACAACTTGTACTACTCATTGTTGCAACAGGTCCACCTGTATCCTTAAACGACTTGTTTTCCCCCATCTCCTCGACAAGTTTTAC